TGAAATTGTTGTCGATTGTATGTGTATGAGTGTGTAAGTGTGTGCTGTCTGTAAATAGGTGTACATGTGTGTGTGTGTGTGTGGCGACCATTGGACTGACGCTTGAGATTGATTGTGAGCAAATATAGACGCTCGGCAGACGATTGTTATACAAGGGACGTATGTAGCTGTGTAAATATGTTTGTATGTAACTGGCTGGTATACAGACAGTTACATATATACACGCGGATATGTGCGATGTATACTTATGGGGGTCGCTTCCCACAGCCCACCTAGCAAATGCGTAGAAATTTCCTCAATTTTCGTCTACACAAATTTCGCACTTTTCAAGTGAAACAATGACTTTGCACCAAGGGTTTGATATGATATTGTATTGCGATGTTGATAAGATTCTCGTATTATTCTATTCACATACAGAAATTTGGCACCAACAGCTGCCAAAGCTCTGGCAGAGTGGCCAACATGAAGGGGACGAGACACAGAATGCCTCCATATAAATACTTTTATAATCTACTGCGCAAATCTCTTAATAAATTGTTCAGGGCCGTTTTTGTTACAACAATAATATTATTTTTGTTCTCAAGCCAAAGACAAATTTATATTTAAATTCTAAATTTTTACTTCAAGTTAACATAAACCAGTTTTCATTACCTCATTAAATGTAAAAATTGTCATTCCATTCCATTAGTTACTTGATTTTGTACTTTACTTTCCTCTATTCTTACCACAAGTGAAAAAGTAAAGACCCCGATTTGTTTAAGGCTATTATTGGTAAGTTTATAAAAAAACAGTTACAGAAATAGTTTTCGCTATAAAACTAGAGTCCACGTGCAATTAAAACTAAAATTAAGAGTTCGTAAAAGTTTAGGATGCCCGCCCAGTCCGTTCACGCTGTGAGTAGAGCTCTCACTAACACTAACAAACATTTAAAAACTATTTCATATTCTAATAAGAAATTTCTTTGCAATAGAGATGATGTGATGATTGTACAACAAAATGGACTGTATAAATATCCACATGCATGTATTCATAAATGTACGCATTTATACTTCTGATTTGCACCCATATATGCCACTTAGTACATATGTATGTATGTGTGTATGTATATTTCAAATGCGGGCAGTGAGTCACTCGAATATGAGCACATAATAAAAAAAAACTAGCCATATAGAAGAGTATGGGCAGAAAAAAACATTGCCTTCGAAAATATCACGTAAAATTGAATTTTGATCGCCACGAGTCGAGTTCAAGAAGCAGAAATCATCTCTTCTCGTGCGATGACTCCATGCCGTTTAAATTTGTAGACACAACAAAAATAAATCTACTTACATACATACATGTGTGTGTATGTATGTTCATATCTAAACAAATTGTTTTGTGCTAACGTGTTTGGAGAAATTGTGTGCATGCTAGTATGTGTGTCTGTGTGTAGAAATGAAACGCAAATTCCGTCAAAACAATGCACACGAATATCAATCAAAGCGAAACCGTCCAAGTCTGTCAGCCCCCCTCTTTCCTAGCTCCAAATCAGTTAGATGAGAACGTAGCGGGGGCAGGGGTTTAATAGCAACAACAAGAATTATTGTTGTAACTGTTATTGAAGGGTGCCACGAGACATCTCCATACCAATCCACCTCCTCCCACTGTCCACCACTCCCCTCGCACACAACTCTCTCCCTCTGGCAGCAACATAACATAAACTGGCGTCCATCAGCTGTCTACATTTTGGTGGGTTCAATGGCTCTCTGGCAACGCTCAAATGTTACGCTCTTTATTTTCTTATTTTCTTCTTTTTTTTGTTTTTGTTTTTTGCGCACACGTTGTCCAAAGTCATTCAACCCAAAAACCAAATAACGTAAAATAAAACGCAAAAGGAGGCGAGCGACGGCTGCGACAGCAACGGAACGGGAAGCAGAAGCGGCGGCGGGGTCACTGAGCGCGCTCTCACTCGCACTCTCCCTCTTTCTCCCTGTTAGCTTAGCGTCCGTTAAACAACGACAACAAGTAGCAATGGGGTAAAATTTGAAAATATTGCGTAGCGTGGGTCTCCAAAACGAAGGCGATGCTTCTGAAAGCTGCTGCCGTTGGTCAGTGTGACCACCCCCCAAAAAGCAAAAGCAAAAGCAACTCAAATAGCTCAAGCAACTTGGTGCACACGACCTCAGGATGTGCTTCATTGACTCTTATTTAGAGCACTGAGCAAATAAAAGATCAACACGAAAAGAGGCGGCAACACTTTTCACATTTACATGTGTATGTGGTGTAAGTAGATGTGGGTGGAACTACGCGTAACAGTCTGTTAATTTCAATGGCTGTTAATCAGCGTCCATACACACATACATATGTACATCGTAGTTTATATTCTCTTTTCAACATTTCAATTTTATCAACTAACAGGAGTCTGAGTCTCTGTGCAGAGACCTTCTCCACCCCCAATCCGACTGCTAGATAATCACCAAAAAAGCCGCACGGGCACTGGACTGTCTGCCAGCATTTGATAAGCTAGTCCACTGTACGGTTTATTTTCTGTTATCTGGCCCGCAGGCCCATATAAAACGTATCAGCTTTGACAATTTGTGACTCAGGGCTTGGGACAAAAAAAAAAAAAAAATTCACAATCTTCAACAACTACGCAATACCCTATATGTTCTAGAAACACACCGAATATTTACAAGAACTTAAAGAATTCGAATTAAAATATAAAAAGCCTACTTTAAATTTCTGATTTAAACCTTTTCTTTTCCAACTACACTTCATTTAATTTCATCCGAGAATGTAATTAAGTTCTATATGATTTAGTTGTTGGTTTTTATAAGAGTATTTGAAACTTTAATTTAATTATATTTTTCCATCGATTTGTTAGAGATATGTTAATTAGGTTAAGCCCACATCATGAACATTATGTACATACAAAATATAACCCTCTGTATAATCACTTTAACATATGCGCAGTAGTTTTTTACACGTACATCTCTATTTACAGAGATCTTGATTATGACGGCTCATATTACCCAACTACGATTTTTTAATAGAGAGCATGTTGTTGACCTTAACGATATGAATTGGCTTTTGGTATATATGTACATATATTTTAACGGTTTCACTATTTTATGAAACATAATATTTGTAATATAATTTAATAAATTTACTTCATCAGCGATAATACTGGATTTACGCATTGCTATTTGTGTTTGCCTTTATATGTATGTGTGCATAACCATGAGCTGGAGCCGCGACAAAGGTATGCAAAAATAGAATAGATGAGTTGGAAAAGATAAATAATAAGCGATAAGCAAGTGACAAATAGCCGTGTATCGCAGTAGGGCATTTTATAAGACTAAGTTATTTAGATAAAGAGATTAAATTACAAACATTCCGATGCAGTAATAGATAACATTTCTAAATTCAGGAAAAAAACATACTACATCTGACTTTATTTACTCCGAATTCCATTTACTTAAAGTGCAAGGCCTGTGAACAAAATACACGTGTCTTTTTAAAGTACTAAAAAGCTTCAATCGAGATTAATTGAGACTGATCAAAGCTCAATTAGAGAACTGTTAATTGTCAATTCACGGGCTTACCAACTAGATACGCATTTCAAAAGAATAATTTAATCGTTTAACGTTTAAACGTTTTCTAACTTAGCTGTAAACTCAGCATTTACATGTTCTCTCCCTCTCTTTAATGATCTGTTAGGTTTTGTACTGTTTTTACATGTGTATGTATGTACGTTTGTCAATCACCTGCAGTATTAAATCAATATATGTACATGCATACAAGCGCACACGTAGTTCTTCTGTAAAGCATTTTTCTTTGTTGTCTGCCCGCTGCTGGCATCGTCAAAAGGAAATAAAAAAAAAGCTCCAAAACGCAAAACGAATAAAGTCAAGGATACACAGCGAGAGCGCGTTAACAGTTTCTTTGTCTGCGAAGAGAAGCAGGCTGCCCAACAAAGACAGCAACCAGAAGAGAATAACCCCAGCAAAGCAAGCGACGGCGGCGACGACGTCGACGTCGAGACTAACACAGCTGATTAAGACGGCGACAACAAAAGCAAACGTGTGCTATTGCAGCGGGGGCGGGCGAACTTGGATTTGGATGGAAAGCAGCGGGGCTGCTGTTGCCGTTTGTCTGTCAAAAAAAAAAAAAAAATCCAACAAAATGAGACGCAGTGAGACGTGAATTGAAATCATTTACTCTTGTCCATATGAAGAGTAGCCCGTATATACTAGGTACATATATCTATAATCATGCTTACGTATGTACATATGTAAATATGTACATGTAGGAGTAGGTACATACATCCGTACATATGTAAGTGAAACGTTGCTATGCGATGTACATAAATACGCACGTTCAAAGCAGAAACAAGTTTTAAGCTCAACAACGCAATCTTCAAAGTTCTCTTGTGAAATTCGAATTCTAACTGCCATAAATTTCGCTCATATCTTAATGCAAATGCGTGTATGTATGTGTGTCTGTATATACATACAAAGTAATTAATTGGTATTTGTTGCATTTATTATATATTAATTGTATATATGTTAGTAGGTGTACACTGTCATACGTACATATGCAGATGAACACACATACATGTGTACATATGTATGTGTATGCGAATCCGTACGTAATTCGCACAAGGCGCAAACCCAAGTGAAATGTGCAATCAAAATGGCCGACTTACCGTTTAACAAACGAATAAATAGAAGGGCAAAGAACTTGCAAGGTTGCCACAGCTATTCAATTATTATTGTTGCTGTTTGCCAATCAATTTGTTGCTTTAATTAGACATTATTGCAGTTCAGTTGGGGTTTCACATAATAAATATTGATTTGCGCTGATTTGCTTCAGATCCGTTGCTGCTCCTGCTTCCGATAGCGACTGTTGTTATTTGCCTTCACTCCCTATACACTCACTCACATACGCACACATACAGTGACGCCGACGCTGCTGCTGTCGCTCAGCTGTGCTTTGTTGCTGCTAATGCTGCCCCCGCGCCAGCTCACAGCCGACAACGGCAAATTTTCGCACATCGATTATTTGGCTCCGTTTTTAACATTATCGTTGCATGCAACTTGGATCGAATTAAAATTTATTACACGCACACACAAACAGGTGCACAAGTCAACAAAGAGCGCTCTTTACATAATATGAAATGGACAGAGGCGAGGCCCAAGCAGCAGGCGTCGTTTTTTTTTCTTACTGCATTGCACATTCTGTTTCTCGCATTTTGCTTTCTGCTTTCCTTGAACTTATTATAGCGTATACATAATGCATACATACATGTGTATGTAAGTATGTAACTGTAAACGCAAGCAGCACTGCAAGTTTATTGGCAAACAAAACGGAAACCGAAAAATAATTAAAAGAAAAACGGCAACTGTTTTCTTAATTCTGCACTTGTCTCCCGCACTTTTGTTGCACCTTTTTTATCACCCTTACTCTTCTACTTCACTTTGTTGTCTTTTTTTGCGAAAATTGATCGTTGCTGCTAAAGCGAATGCCACAACAAATTGAACCACAACCGCTGCTGCAAGCCACGAAAACCAATATCGCTGCAACAACAACACTTTCACCGCCGTTTGGAGCGATTTTGGCTGGTGCTCTGTGCATAATTACACGCGCACGCTCACACACACACTCAAATATAACTGAAAATACAGATTGTTTATAATTCCCACATAATTGTTTATTATTTCGATATGCCTTCGTCTACCGCATACTAATACAAGTACAAACCGATTAAAATCGAAATGTATTTACAACCATAGAGCGATGACGGCGAAAAATGTGGTGGCTGAACGATATACAGATACAAAAGAAAACAGTGTTGTCCCATTATATAATATTACTCTGTAACTGATTGGGAATCACTGAAAGGAGCGCCTGTTTGAATATTTTGCAAAGATATGTTTGTTTGAAATCCCAGATAGTCGTTGGCATGACCAAAATATCTTCTATTTTGAAATGTAGTGTCAATCCACTTACAGATGCACCTTAAAAAGCTTAGCACATTTTATTTAGTAAATTAATTTCTGTTGTATTTGTATATGATCCTTAAGTTCAATAAATGAAAGTTGTTTCTTTTATAAATCTACTTATGCAACTTTTTGGTTTAAAACTGAAACACATAGATCACTAAGTCATTAGCTATAGATTGTTTAACTAAAACCCATCAGATAGAGCAATAATTAATATTTCAAATGCTACAATTAGTTTGAAAAACAAGAACAAAATACACATAGATACACATACATATATTAATATTGCATTCCCACTGGCAGCATTCCTCTAATGTTACTCTAAAGCGCTCTGATAAGATTTGTGTGTGGTGAGTATTAATGATGTTATTGACGAATAATCCCATTTATGGAAACACTTAATTTCGCTTATCCGGGCGTGAGGCTACGAGGGAAATAATACCTCATTAGATTGTTCTATGTGTGACTTGATAGCCCAATTAATTAAAAATAATTTCTGCGCACAATGAGCAATGGAACAGTTTATGGGGCTTTCTAATAAGAAACCGTCTGTTAACCATAAAAGCCAATTGGCAATCACCCGATAGGATAATGCGTTTGCAATTGTGCGCGGAATTTACATACATGAAAATTGGCGTTTTTGTACCCGTTTTGTGTGGATTACATTTACAAAATAGACAATTATACATGTGTATATTATGTAATTAAATATATATATATATTTTTCTCATAATGTATATATATAGATTTATTTATCATGTGTTTTATGTACTAAGTATATATATTGTATGAGAGATTTGTGTTTTAGAAACGTGGATCCATCTGTTTGTTTGTTTGTTTGTATGTTTTTGTTGTTTGTGTGTAAAAGACATGCTTGCACTTGAACGGTTATTTTTATTTCCCTTTTGTTATGTTTATTATTTGTGTTTCGATTTGTTCGGGTGTAATATACAATTTGGATTTCGTTGACATAGTGTGCAGCCATACACACATACATAATACGTACGTATGTATGTGTGTATAAGTATAACTATAAGTATAATGTTCTAGGTTAAATATATGCTTAAATATGATTTAGCTGGCACTAAAAAAAAAAAACCGGAATATAGCAACAGTTGTTATTCGGAAATAGCCTAAAGTTTTCACTGACTGCAAGGTGTGTGTGTTTGTTTGTATGTGTGTGTGTGTGTGTGTGTGGGTGAACGCTTTGTGGTTCTATCGACATGTTTAGACTTGATTATAATCTCAGTTATATAGTAAAATATGTATTTGCTCTCACTAATTGAAATCATAATTATATCAACACTTAATCAGCATGCACGCTTCAAGCTTGTTGAGTATGTGTATGCGTATGTGTGTGTGTGTGTGTGTGTGTGTGTGTGTGTTCGGTATATCTGTGAGCTTACCCACAGAAAATATTACAGGGTAGATACATATGTATTTATGTACATACGTCAGAGATGTTTTAGGAGCTTGATTGATTGACAATTCGTTGAGAGAAAAACACAAATTGAAACAAGAACAAAAAGAGAGAGAGAGAGAGAGAGATATCTAATAATACACATAACGCATACGAGAAACAAAATGATTAAAGGTTGTCTAGTTAACATAACAGCTTAGCATATAAAAATAAAATAATCACAATTTTACATGTTGAAGTTGAGTTTTTGAAACTCTCGCAAACTAAATACTAAAAGTTAGCTTGGGTACATTTAAGACTACGAATTTCGTGTTACAATTTCTTTTCTTTTCTTTTGTTTCATTTGTTTCGTTTCGGATCCTTAAATATCGTTATTAGAATCTTGCTTTAGTTATACACAGTTATATTGGTGTAGGCGTGTGTGTGTGTATGTGAGTGTGTGTGTGTGTGTGTGTGTTGCTGTCTTCTTGGCGCCCGCACATTCAGTAGACGCTGTCAAGCAGACCGAAGGAATACAGCATCGCGACGAGGATCAGGCTTGAGAGCATGGCAAACACACAGATGCACACAGGCCAGCATCAGTCCGTGGCAGATTTGCGCATTATCCGTCTGGCAAAGCCAATGGCCGTATCTCAGAGAATCTCACAGCAGCGACAATACCGTGGTCGGTGGCCTGTCGTCACAGCTGGCGGGGTCACGGGCGCAAAGTAAGCGTGCACCTTGATATTTGGTAGATGGTTCTAAAAAATAAACAAACACGAAGAGATTAGCAATTGGCTTCCATTCTCCAAGTGCCACGCCCACCTTCAGCTTGCGTATGGCCGCGCGTGAGATGAGCTGGCAGTCGAAGAGCTCGATGCGCTGCAGATTGTGACAGGAAACCAAATGCTCCAGCGTGCGATCCGTTATCAGCGGACAGTTGTCCAATTCCAGCACCGAGAGACTCTCCGCCGCACAGCTGCCCGTGGTCAGATGCCGTATCCCGTCGTCCGTAATCAGCTCGCAGTGCGACAGCGTCTGGAGCGAGTGATTGGAGCAAGCATTTAGTTGATTTACAATTTTTGGGGTGATCTTTGGCTGCTTACCAGCTTCTCGAGACTGGGACAGCCGGTGGCGAGATGGGCCAGCGTTAGGTCCGTTATCTGGCTGCACTCCTCCAGATCCATGCGCTCCAGGTACTTGCAGTTGCGGCCCAGCGCTTGAAAGCCAATGTCCGTAAAGTTGCGACAGCCGGACACCTCCAGTGTGTTCAGCTGCTGGTTGTGCTGCGACAGCGCCATCAGCGAGAGATCAGTTAGTTCCGCACACTTGGACACGCACAGCTTCTGCAGCTTGGGGCAGCAAGCCGCCAGCTGGCGTATGGACGAGTCGCTGATGGTCTGCGCAACAATACAAAAGTCGATTATATTCTTTTTATTATAATAAAATGTATGTTTGTCCTGACCAACTGACTAACTGTTTGACCAAAGTGGTTGCAATTTTTACTGTAGTTTTAAAATATTCCACCGGATAGGGTGGAAAATAGGTGGTAATCGCAAGTAATCAACGTTTGTAAGCCTGAGAAAACTCATTTTTAAATTGGAAAACTTGTTTTTCATCAATTATAACTTATTTTCAAATATCTAATCAATATCTAACATGAAATGTAACTATCGCAGGTGAAAAAAAAGTTCAAGGTTATATAGGAAAATTAATATTTAGTTAGTGAAAAAGGGAAAGGAAAGAAAATGTAAAGAAAAAACTTGGCAAAGCCCGCTATTATCATATCACATTTGTATAGAGAAGTGTATTTACATAAAGTCCCTTCAAGCATAATCTCTGTACAGTATTTTGTGTCTGGCTTTTCCTGTCTCAGTCAGACAAACATACAGACGCACATGACCCGTATAGGGTATAGCTGATAGTGCCTGGATCGATGGGCGTTACCTCGCAGCTGTGTAGATTTAGCACCATTAGATCGGGACAGTATTTGGCCAGGCACGTGATGGCATTGTCGTTAATCTGTTTACAACCTTTGCTGCAGAACTTGCGCAGCTTGACACAGCCGCGTGCCAGCGCCTCGACTCCATTTTCGGATACTAGATGGCACCAGGATACGTTGATCTCGAGCAGGTTCTGCGGAAAGGACAACAAATCATTTGAATTGGCAATGGAAAGCCTGAAGACTGCTTTGTTGACTTACCGGACAGCCATCCGATATATACTTGAGGCTATTGTCTGTTATGTTCGAGCAGGAGTCCAGGTTGATGGCCGTCAGCTTGCTGCAGTATCTGCTTATGTCTGTGACCGAGTTATCTGTGATCTTCTTGCACTCCGACAGATCCAGGTGTTCGATGTTGTGGCAGTGATTCGCTAGAGTTCTGCAAATAAAATTGATCAATTACAAGATATCTTTTTAAATACCCCCAATAAATATTCATAATATAAAATGGACTATACCAACATTTTTAGTGTTTTTTAAGTTAGTGAAGATTGAAAATGTCTGCTGAGAAATGCGAAATTTAGATTTAAGTTAAAGTGTAGAAGTTCTCTGTATGCAGGAATCAAGGTATAAGTGAAAGTAATTGTCAGGGTAATACCCTGTAACTAAAGCTGGCAGCGTGCCTTATTCCTTCCTCTTCTAAGTGATAATTAAATATCTATATTTCTTACATATTATTTCCTACATATTAAATTCTCTCTTTGCCTTCTCGAAGCTCAAATTTAGCGTTACAGGGCATACAAAGTTCGAGGTAAATATGATTGATTGAAGCTTGAAACACTTGCGTATTAAAGTATATTGAATGATATTATTTTAAGCCATTGGCTGCAACTTACTTGATGGACTGATCTCCCACCGATTGACAACCACGTAGCGAAAGCGACTTGAGGAAGCCGCCGCATCGTTGCGATATATTCTCAATTACCGGACCCTGTCGGGCATATATATAGATATATGTATATATATAAATAATATATGCAAGAATAATGTTGAATGTAACTGATAAATACACACCTCAATATCACGTTGGAAATCGAACAAATTGATTTTCTGCCAGCTGGAACCGTCCAGGGCGAGCACATTCCAATATTTGCACACCTGCAATGCACGGCAATTAATTGAGTTTTATCAAAATGCTTGTAGGACAATAGGAGAGTGGCAGAGAGGGAGAGTAACAGGTGCGGTACATACCTGAGCACAGCGGCATAGCGAGACGACATCCAGGTAGGAGAAAACGCGCAGCAGTACCTCCTTTGGCAGTTGTTTGATTAGCTCATCGTCCAGTTCGGTGGCGCCTAGGAATGTTTGCTGCGAATGCGAAATGCGACACAATCAGCAAATGGATACGCACACACACAATCGTTAAATATATGTATATACATATATGTGTGGAGTGATTTTTTAAAATAGAAATTTGATGGGTTTGCTGTGCCAAAACAAAACAATTGACTCCGATCTTAATTGAGTCTGTCCCAAAAATGCTCCAAAAACAAAAAAGAACAAATTAATTTATGAACAATGCTCGAGACGAAGAGAGAGACAGAAAGAGAGAAAGAGGGTGAGAGAGAGAGAGAGAGAGAGAGCGAACACAACAAAGATATATGCAAGGCTGGGGGCGAGGGCGAGGCGTGGGCAATGTACAAAATGGTAGCCTTGATGAATGACCGCTGAGAGATGCCATATCGAGTGGAAACGATAATCAAAGCCAGATTTTTTTGTTTTACTGTTTTTTTGTTTTGTTTTCGTGTTTTGTCTTACGGGCTCGTCCTGCTCCCCGTCGAGCTGCATTTGTATTTGTGTGCGCTGCTGCTGTTGCGCTGCATTGCTGTTGCTGTTGCTGTTGGTGTTGGTGGCCACCGTACGCTGGTTGCTGCTCTGCTGCTGCTCCACAACGCATACCTCGTCGGCGGCTGGCGAAATCGAGGACGCGCTGGAGGAAGAGTAGCTGGCGCTGGCGGCGCTGCCGCTGCCGCTGCCATTGCCACTGCCGCTGCTGGCTGCCATTATGCTGGCGACGGGCGCAGCGCTGCCAAAGGTTGCTGTGCGCCAAATGCTGCTGCAGATGCCGCTGATTAGGTTTGTGCTGTGATTATTATTGTTGTTCGCATAGTTGTTGTTGCTGCTCAGTTGTAAGCTCAGATTTCGATTGGCATTCGCATTGTTGTTGTTCTCGCCGCTGTCGCCAAGCAGGTCCGCAGCTGACGCCGGCGTTGACGCGCTCACGCTAGTACTGTTAGTGGCCGTTGTGCTGGTGCCGCTGCTGCTGAAGCTACCGCTGCCGCTGATGCTGCTGCTGCCACTGGGCGGACACAGCAGCTCAATGCTGCCTGCAGCGCCTGCGCTGCTACCGCCGCCGCCGCCGCCACCGCCATCGTCGGCGCTTCCTCTGCCGCTGCCCACATTGGGCGCAGCGCTAATCCCACTGCGCGCAAACATCAAGCGTTGTCGTCCGCAAGCTCTTCAAGTGTGCGAGCAGGCGCTCGGCAGCGTCGCTTAAGTCTTGCTTTCGCCTGTTGTGCAGTTGTTGTTTTCAACAGCTTCAACTCTTTACAGCTAGCTCTCTCTCGCTCACTCCTGCAGAGAGACGAGTTCCGTTGCTCGCGGTCGTTTGCGTGTCTTCGTGTGAATGCACGATTAAATTATTCACAAATTGCGTATTTTGGTACGTCGCGTCACGTACCTCTCCTCTCTCGCTTGTGTTTTTTTTTACTGCTGCTTAATAACAAAACAAACCATAAATGTATGGATAAGAGACTGCGGCGAGCTCTCTTCAAATAAGAGCGTTAATTAATTGTGAATATCGCTGTCGCTGCTAAACGCTTCTCTTATCGTGTTTTGCAACTGCAGTTTTTGTTGTTCTGTTTTTGTTGTTTTTTGTTTATTTTTTTGCTTTGCACCAGGAACTTGGCTGTTAAATCGCTTTATTTTTGTCGTTTCTCTCGATTTCTGCTTTGGCTTTTGCTTTATAGCTGCTCGTGGCGCGCACGTGAGAAATAGAACAACAGAAATACATATTAAAATACATTAAAGTGTTACCCAAGGTTGACGGCGTGATAATCCAAATGGATTTCTCTATAATGTAATATATGTATATGTATGTGCATACACAATTTTTATACACAATTTGCCATCAACTGAACAGATACGACGGGCAACAGATCTTTCGCACATAATTGAAATATGCGCGCCCCAACTCGCACGCTTTGCGTTGTGCCTCTGACTGAGACCCAAAACTGACGACCAGTCAATGACCATGTCAGCCCCCTACCCTCCCCTCCCCCGCCTACCACTCTTACCGATTATATATGTATATGTACATATTTAAAATATATGGCATTCAGCTTAAATGAAAAATCATCAAAGCCAATTTAAAAAGGCAATCATCGATCGAGCCCAAAGAATACAGTATCAAAATGACAAACCAGCTGATTGGAACTTGACGATCACGGCTCAATAACTGACAGAAGCCAGCGAGAAGCCAGATGTCATCCAAGAATCCATGCCATGTCCTAAATACTCATGCATAAGTATAAGCCGACTAAGAATTAAAAGATATAGTTGATTAATACCTAGGAAATGTCTGCAAATCAAATTATACGTTCAATCAAATGTACATATATATGTGTAAAGAAGAAGGAATAATAAGAACAATAAATCAATTCATTTACAATAAAAGCTTTTATTTTATCTACATTTCAACGAGCAAATTGTTGAATTTCTCCTATGTTTAATTAACAAATCATACACATACGTGCACGTGCACTACATATGCACATATGTACATACATAGTATACATATGTATGTACATCTGTAAAAAACATTTATGCATATTAAGCATCAATAAAGCTGCCAACTGTCACATTGAAGATCTAAAAACTGCTGATTGGAGGAGCATGCGATGAGCGGCAAGGCTTTTGAATTAAATTGACATTTATTTAAATACATATGTACATATGTATGTATGTGTATGTACTCGTCTATGTACGCGACACATGCTGTATGATGGCACACAGAATACAGCCTTGATATAAATAAACAGACTCTTATATGGGTGAGAAATATGAATACAGGTATTGCCCATTTTACGCCAAATTGAGCACAACTCTTAAAACTGTTTATGCATATGCTTACTGAGAATGAAACCATATTTATATGTATGTGTATGTAAATGTTGCTATGCAGTTAAATGAAAAGTAAGCACAATGGAAGTGCTTCACTCAATCAGCGTTCATTTATCAACACTCGAGCTGAGAATTTAACTGGGGGCGAGACAGCGAGAGGGAGAGTGGGAGAGAGGGACAACAACAGTTGTTATACACGCAACAGCTCGGTACGAATTCATTTCATATCCGAATTCCTTTTTTCCAAGTTCTTATTCATCCAAACTAAACTAAACTAAACTAAATAGCTTCAATTCATTTCGCTTTATTAGGTGCACACTTTTCACTTGGCACAATGAGATGCGACGGTCACACAGATTGCAGAAAATTAGATTCGTTTAACGAGGATGGTTTCAGAAGTACTCGAAACCACAATAATTTTTAGCTAAAGCAAGCAAATTAATTAAAATAAACTGAAAAACTGAAACTAAAATCAAGTTTAAAACAAATCAATTTGCGAGCGATTGTCCCTGAGGTTGATTTAGTAATAATATATAATAATAATTTGGCTGAATTCGAGCATCGCAGAAAATATCTTTATAAACTTAAGACTCAGGAATTGATTTTACTATTTTCTCCAATCAAAAGGATTAGAAAAAATAAATTTTGATACCCTCCACAAATATATGAATATCACAATACATAATGGGGCTTTAAAAAAATAATTATTCTACATAATAGTTAGAGCACATACATAAACACTGCAACATTTGAAACTGCCCTCGCATGAGCGCATTTATATTTGTCGTGCAGCTCGTGGCGTATGTTTCGTGCACAAAAATGTATGCATGTTTGTATGTACGTACATATGTACATACATATATATAATACGTGATTGCGTACATGTTAACGCCTGGATTTGTTGGGCACGTAAAGCTGAAGTCCATCCAAAAAAGCTCTACGAACAGCTGAGAGGCGTGGTGTCCAAAACCCATTGGAATTGTAAACGCAATTGAGGTGCAAAAAGCGAACAAGCGGGACAGGTAGGTGCAAGAGAGATAAGGAGAAAAGTATTGAGAGCGCGAGGGCAAGTGTGCGAGTGTGTGTGTGTGTGTGTGTTTGTGATCGTCTTTTAAAGTAAACAACATTTAATGTACAATGTAGTTTTCATACGACCTCGACGAATGTAATGGCCAGAGGAAAAACTAAATACACTTCTGTATGTATGTACATTCGAGTGCTGGCATTAGTAGGAAAGTATCTATATGTATGTAAATATGTAAGGCGCACTGGATTTATATAAGCCATGGCCAAATCAAACAGCCCAATCCGCCAGCAAGTCAGCTGTGTGTTAACTGTCAAGTGAGACGCTCGCTGTTGCTATTGCACTGATAGGCAGCCCCTAACTGTATATATGTACATATGCATGTACTATATACATACATGCAAAGTGATGCATGTAGAAAGCATATGACAGTCATTATATGGACCCTAGAAGGCCACAAGGTCAACGAAAAGTGGGTCAGCTGTGTGCATATCTGTGCTACACATGCTGGTCTGTATGTATGTACGTGCGTGTGTATGTATGTATATATATATGTGCCTATGCATGTACCTATAAGAATTATGCGAGCACACAAAAAACAATCAAAAGCGAAACGCAATAAAAACAATGAGAAAGAATAAAGCCTTATCACCATACCCAGCTACATACATACATACATACGTACATGCATACATATGTACATTACAAAAGCATAACAATTTCCCATTTGCAGCAGTCTTCGCTTCCAACTACCATTTGAGCGCAAAACAGACAGCGATAAAGAGCAGAGAACAGCTGACGACACAAAAAAAAAAAAAACCACCAACTATTTTCAAGCAAAGCACGAAAAAAAATCAACAAAGTCGCTGTAATAAACTGAAATGTGCACAAACGCCAAAGAGTCACACACACACTCACACGCATACACGCACGCACTTAGATTCAAGTTATTTGCATGTCCAGTTAATAGTTAAGGAACCAAAAAAATAAAAACACAATAAATAAGTAAATAACAAAAAACTGCGCGTACCATTGGTTTATTTTATTTTACTGCTAATTTCCTTATTTTTAGCTGTGCGACGTTTTACATAGTACGCGCACTTTTCACTTTTCACCAATAGAATCGCATAGATTTTTACGCAAATAATATGTTTTAATGTGGCTGCACTGGAAAAACCAAATTCACACAACCAAAGTAAATGCAGACACGCGAGACAATGACGACCGCAACGAGGAAATCGTCGACATGGATAACAACGGAGCGCAGAATGGTAACTGAGCGAGCAAACAGCTGAAGCTCAAATGCGCTGCGCTCGGGCTTCGAAAATGCATGTGGGGTCACACTGACACACACAAGTCAATTTACACACACATATACACATACAGAAAGATACCAGAGAGCGCGCGCCAGTTGCGTGCGCGGGGGCGTCGTTTGGGGCGGTGCAATGCACCCACAAAAATAACAACACGAAAGTCTCAATGAGAGCATACCATATGTATGAATGAGTATGTATGCATGTGTCAGCCGAAGATAGAGCGAGAGTGAGAGAGCGCAAGCGTTTGACAAACAAAAACAAATGTCGGCATGGAACCAACTAAATTCCACTGCTGCGTTTAAAGCGCCATCAACACCAACACCATCAATCGCTCTATATCTGCATATGCATTCACTTTTTAACTGCATGCACAGCGCTGCCAGACAGTTGCACTTTCATGTCAGCTGTTTTTGCAATGAAAAGCCCTGCGGTCAATGTTTGCATTTATAATTATTGCTGTTAACTTGTTTTCAGCACCAGCCAGACGCAAACTAACTGTAAATGAACACACACACAACCACACACACACACACATACATTTGTTCCTAATCTATTTTAGACAGCTGAGAGCGATAGCCACAACGCAAATCAAAATCAGCCGCCTTCCCCTCGACAATTAGCATGGGTTTGGCAACTACGAGAGAGTGAGTTGCGGGCTGGGGACTGCTGCACTCAGGCTCCAATTGGGCGACTTGCGCTGACTCAAAACCCACTCTTACCCTAGCATATTTACTTATGTATGTATGTACGTACGTTTGTACGTGTGTATGTCTAGAAGTGGTTATTTACATTGAAGACTTCAAACGCAAGAGGTTCCCGACACTGGTCATTAACGGCGTGCAGACTGGGTGGGCACCAGCAGAAACAGCAGCAGCAGGGTCGTCGCCAACATCATTGGCAACGAGTTTATTGCACTTTAGCTAAAGTCACTGTTAACTTGTGTAAAAAGACAAACAGAGACACAAGTTCGGGGTTGGGTAGCAGACACTTACACTTTTAGGAGCGGTTCGGGCTTGGGAGCAACAGCTCGCAGCGCCAACAAAGGCAACCTTTTTGTTCTGACAAAGAACCAACTTCGCTATAAAAATATAAAGAAATCAGAAAAGGAAATACATGTGTACATCCATGCGAGTGCACGTGAGTGTGTGTGAGTGCATAGCACAACTGCAACCGTATAGCGGGGGCAAGCCGAGCAAAGGGCGGCAATCTTGTTTGACTGACTGTCTGGAGTTTGGGTGTGTGTGTGTGAGTGTGTGCATGTCTGCGACTGTGTGGGTGACTGTTTTGGCTGATGCGCGCAAACAAAAGAGCAACAACTATGTACACACACACATACAACACGCACACACACTTAAATATTTTTGAGTGAAATGGCCAATGAGAGACGAGGAAGCTGTTTATTGTTGGATTTTGGCTTTTATTGCTCTGATTGTTGACGGCACTGCGCTTAAATTGCATTCCCAGCCAGCCAGTTGGGCAGACCAGACAAAGTAAAGGAAGCGCTGGATTCTCACACTTCCAATACAAGATTAGTCTACACCCACATGTGAATAAACAAAGTTCTGTTTTCGTTGCGTTTTATGACGAGGTTCGCGTGAATGGCGCAATATACATACATATATTTCCTTGCATATAATTTGTTCATAAGTTACATCTACTTACATCGATTCGATGATTGCGATGGTTCGAATTGGTCATTTTATGCGCCGCGAATTGCTGTCGTTGCCCTCTTTCTTTCTCTCTCTCTATCTGTGCGGAGATATTTTTCTTTGTTGGCCGGCCGTTACGGCGTCCCCTTCCCACGCGTACAACAGCACACGCTCTTTGGTGTCTGCTTGTGTATATGTGTGGGTAAGCAGGAAATTATGCGACGCACTGCGGCTGCTGCCCTGTTTGTTGTTGTTGCTGCTGCTGCTGCTGCTGCTGTTGTTGTTGTTGTTGTACCAATTGGTAGTTAATGCACTGGAGTTCTTTGTTCTTATGCGATCTTGTTGCTGCTGCCGCTGTCGCGTCGTTATAATTATACATTATAACAATCTGAAACTGTATATAACCCGACTGGTTCTTAATGCGTAAATAACTTTTTCCCTGTCGAGCATTTTCATTCGTATTTTTTTCGATCGTTATTTGCAGTTATTTTTATACGCATTACACTTGCTTAACGAACACAAACATACTCAACAATTATATATTCGTTTTTTATCTCTTTGAACTGCGATTTCGCTATGCGATTGCAACATTTCAATGAAATTTTGCAATTATATTAAATGCGTTGTTTTACCACTCTTTACACGTCTCGTTCTAACTTTGCTCTGTTTATGTTTATTTTTCTTGTGAAAATTTCGAGATAGCCATAATTAACGATGAATACGATGAATCGATGCATGTCAGCTGTGTTTTGCTTCTGTACATCTCTATTGGCGACTTGCAATATGCGATAAGCCACAAACAGCAAGGTCAGCTGTAAAGTACCAGGATATGTTATTTAACAGCAATATGCGCTAATCGCTGCAATCCATTTTTTATGTAATTTGTTAAGCTATTGTTTATTGTAAATAAACATTGTGCAGTAAATTGAAGACGACACTTTACTTTTTATGTCATCTTGATAATAATTGCATTGGCATTGTTACGAATCGATACATCGCTGCTTTATTTTATTACATCATTAGTTACTGTATTTTCTATTTAACAAAACAAATTAATCAAATACGGGAACATGCATCTTGTAATTTCTCAGCTGTTCACAATAAAGGCTAAAGCTTCCTTGGCAAACAATTCAATTCGAGAGCTCTGTTTAAAAAAATCTGCAATAAGCGATATATCGATAACAAAATAAATCAAAAGTGCGCGGTTAAAGTTAAATTGAAGAGATCTGACTTCTTTAATTTCCTAAATACCAAAAATTATTCATGGCAAATTTTAATTGTACTGTAAATATATTTCTTAAGTAGATGCTTATTGAACTAATAATTTGATGACAGCTTATCAAAAAAAATTTTAACCACAAATGAGCAATAAATTTCACCATTCACCGCCGCTGCAGTGTGACCGATTGTGAGGCGAAAATTAGTACATTTTGTTAAGAGTATGCCGAATACTTGTTGTCTTTTCCGACTGAACTTGGTCGCTTGTATTATTTCATTAACATATAAAAATATAAAATGTGGCCGGTGGTAATGGCACTTTTACGGCGCAATGCTGTTTACATTACATTGCCCATTGCAGCCGTCGTGGGTTTTATTGGCTATAATCTGGAGAATCTTATGTCCGACAAATACACGCCATACAGTCGTGAGTGTCTTTTTAATCATATGTGCATAACATGCCTTTAACTTTACCTATTTTTTTTTATAGCTTCCATACAAGAGGTTCGCTCTCAGCGCCAAACTGATGAAAGCCTTATAGAAAATCCAGGCAATGTGGGAAAATTGCAGTTAACGGCCTCCGTGCTGGAGCGCAATCTGTCGCCATCCCTGCAACCGAAAGCATAATTAGCTAGCGGCACTGTTACCTAAGTTATAATGGATGTTAATTAAAATTGTAAAGTAAAAAATAAAATTTAAAGCAAAAAAATTAGTGGCCCTTTCAATGGCCACATTTATCATCCCTTGCGGGGATCGAACCCGCGACCTTTGGATTAGAAGTCCAACGCGCTATCCTCTGCGCCAAAGGGACAGGTGGTGGACGCTTTGCCAATAACTTATACAAGCCAAGTGGAGTTTTTCCTACCAATTCTCAGGCAAAGCTCGTTCTGCGCCTGCTGGTTTCCTACAAAATAATTCCAAAATGTTCTAAGCATACACAAAAGCTTTACAATTGAACTTGAGTTGAATGCTTCTAGAACAATTCGGACTAAAGTATGTTCTTAAACGTACACGTGTACATGGCCTCGGTGGCGCAGTTGGCAGCGCGTAAGTCTCATAATCTTAAGGTCGTGAGTTCGAGCCTCACCCGGGGCATGTAATTTTTTTTGATTCTTCGTTATTTTTATTATATTTATATGTATTCAGCTTGACAATTTGAAATGATTCTAAGTTATGGCTTATATCAGAAACGCTTACATGCTTTAGATTAAGGGGTATTTAATTGTTATGAGGTCCATCGTACGGTATTATCGTGGCCTATTTTCCCATGCGCTGAATGGACCACTCCTGCTGGCACAGCGGGCAGCGATTGTTCTGTTTGACCCACAAGGACATGCAGCAGTGATGAAACGAGTGATTGCACTCGCCCCAGACGACAACGCAGTCCTGGCGCCCCAGCACGTCCCGCTTGTTCTCCGCCTGGCAACGCAAGCAGGAATCTGCAAAAGATGCAAAATACGTCAGCGATCGAGTGTGGCTGAATTAGAGAAATGAAATGTCAGCGTCAAATGCGACACCGATGACATTGGGCGACAATTTGAAGCCGGCTGCTGCACGGGTAATTGGATACGTGCGGATGACGTACATAGATACTCGGGCCAGTTGTAGATACAACAGCAACAACAACAAGTTTCAACTAAAGGCAACAACTTTACCCAGCTGCGGCTGGCTTGTCAACAATTCATTAGAGAAAATCGGGCGACTTGTTACGCAAAGTTCGCAGCTATTATTTCAAATGTTACGCGTTGGGAGAACAATTGAATTATGAGTAAAAATCGAGTTAATTCCGTTTCGTTTCCCGATTTCCGTTTCCCGATTTCGCAATGCAATTTGATGTGCGGCCAGGTCTTATCGCATTCATTCAACAGTTCAGGCCAAAATTCACACACACAACACACGAAAAAAGTGCAATGTTTTCTTTCATTCAATATTATTAATTACTGTTAATCCAGCTAATCAGATCTGCAGCCTTTTCGCCGCAAGGGTCACTGACATCTCCAATTGGGAACGCATCGGTTTTCACCAAAAAAAAAACACATTTTTCTCAGAATTTCTGTAAATTTGCCAAGGCAATGCAAAAGCCAAGCTCAGCCGTTCAATCACAGTGCAGGCGGGCGGGTGTGTGTGTGTGTGTGTGTGTGTGTGTGTGTGTGTGTGTGTGTGTGTGTGTGTGTGAGAGTGTGTGTGAGTGTGTGTGTGAGCTTAGGCATCACCTGAGCTACTTTGGAGTGCAGGTGTTGGTGTTGACATTTCGAAATCTGAACGCGTTAGCAAAAATTTATTAGTACTTACTGCCTACATTAAAATACATAAAAAAAACAACAAGTACCCAGACTTGTCAGTACGTTATCGACTACATGATACTCTGTAATCGAGCTGAAAGTCCGCTTTTCGTTAATGTCAAACAGCAATAAATTAAATTTCGATTTATTTAATTTAATTTGTATCGGAAGCATTCTTGGATAATATAAGTGTTAGAATAGTTATCCGAAATTCGGATAAAAGCTTTTGATTGTTTGTTTATAAGTATATAAATACTGTAATAATTAAGCTATAATAATTAAAAAACTTACTAAATGACTAACGCATAATTAGTATATTAAAACAAACTGTCTTCTAGGCTTTTCTATAGAAAATGATCCAAGTCCAATTAAAAGTCATTATATTTACATTAAACGAAGTCATTTGCTGCAGAAATTGGATAATTTAAAAGGTACAATCAGAAAAGAAAGATGAATCTAATTAGATTGGAGTATTGAAAATTTTTGGAAACGATTATTTTTATGACTAACATTTCCATCATTCTTATACAATTTTGTGTTATGTTACCGAACAGATCTGTAAATAAAACTGTTATACTTTTGTTTTGATCTGTAAATAAAACTGTTATACTTTTGTTTTGATCTAAAATATTCGATTATCTGTTGTTAACTCTTGTTGATCTAAAATATTCGTTACTGAATCTGTTCGACAAATTTAGATAATCCATTAGATACCCTGCTAGCTGCTATTAAAGGGTATCAACAGCGTAAAAGCGTCGCAAAAACACAAAAAAAAAACAAAAAGAAAACTAAAACCAAAAAGTAACAAAATAAATGATAAAAACAGGGGGCGGCTATGGGGTGGGGGCGTGGCGGGGCTAGCATTGAATGAGTCAAAGCTAAGACATATGTACGTACATATGTACATTGTTCTTGTTTTTGGTGTGAAAAAGCGCAACACAATTCGCATGAGTTTTTTTGTATTGTGGCCTGAAATTGTAAACCGACAACAGGAAATTGTTAACATTTTTTTTATGAAATTTCCACGAATTTCGTATGGCCCGTAAACTATGAAGTCAATAGCCGATCGACACCAACCAAGTTTTAAATGCGCTTTAAATTAAGTCCAACTAGCTGCTTAAATGGCCATTCGATTCGGCTATTGGCCCTTGAACCAGCTTGGCTTTAATTGGACGCTGATACCCTACCAACTACAGGGCATATTTCCTATTGCATCTACGATATCATGATGGAGTCGAAACTGTTCTGGCCAAGTCGGGCATATCGAGTACCTCGATGCTTATCTATGGGGTTTACGATATCTCCAAGATACGTTCCACACACAGAAATGCTGCGTTGATAACGGAGCTATTCACAGCCAGATAAGATACTCTATGACTACATTGTTCTATTGAAGAGTTAATCAGGAAAGAGTTATAAATTAGGGTTAAACAAGATAAAATACTTGAACTGCTTGACTTGATATATATATATAGATATATAGATAAATCCGAATTCGAGCAGACTTTGTGCAAGGCATAATAATATTTGTATTTATTATATTTAGCAAATTCTATATTTTAATGTATCTTAATTTAATGTATCTAGTATCTATTTCTAGTATCTATATCTGGTATCTATTTCTGTTATTCACGCTAAATGAAATTCCTTTAATAAGTATCTAAATGATTTGCTATTAAAAAAAAATTACATTTTCATCGATTTCTCTTTTTTCTCTTATTTATAAAGATTTGTTAGAAATATATTACGATCTAAAAACAAAGCATGGAGATTTTTTTTCTTTTCTTAATTTTCCATTATTTTCCTTAATCTAGAAAACTTTGAAATACTCCATAAATAATTTTGGTTCGATTTTAGCCAAACTTAAGCCAGAAATCTTATGAAAAATTGATTAGATTATATCTGATTGTACATTTGGCAGCTTTATGTTATTTGTACTCTATTCGACATTCATTCAATATCAATTAGCGCAACTTGGACTATAATTTTGTGGGCAAATAAACTGCGTAATGTACGAAAAATTAGCTGGCTAATGGACTTATAAGCACATGCAAATGATTGGCAGCCAAGCGAAACCATGATGGAGTTGCTCGATGAATGATTCTCTTATTTTTGTTGGGGTGTTCCCAATTCAGATGTCGAGATGCGTGCGAGGTGGCTGCGAGTGCTCCAAATGCTGCTCGGACTGTGGCTGACGCTGGCGGTAAGTGGGACTCCGGGTCAACCAGGAGCAACTGGAATAGCTGAACTAATCGACTCGCTCTAGAATGCGCGTCTGCTGAAGTTCACCAATGTCAAGTGCCTGGAGCTGCCGACGAATGCGGGCTTCAGCAGGTACGAGTACTGCCGGCTGAAGGTGGTGCGGCGCAACCAGGTGGAGCTCTCGCTGAAGGTCAGCCTGCTGGAGCTGCCGATCACGAACCTGACCACACGGCTGCAGTGCTTCCAGCGCACGGACGGCTATCGTCCGTTCGTCTTTAACATACTCTTCGACTTCTGCAAGCTGATGTCCGCCCGCAAGTATCGTCTCTCGTTCGAGAGATTCATCTTCGATGCCATCCGGCAGCACAGCAACTTTAATCATTCGTGTCCCTGGAAGGAGGATCACATGATCGTCGAGCGATACGCCTTGGACTTTGCCAAGGTGAACATGCCCGTGCCGGCGGGCGTCTATCGGCTGGACTTTACCTTCTACGCCTACGGCATAGCGCGCACCTTGACGCAGGTCTTCTTCGAGAAACTGGAATAGGGTCCGTTAAAATAGGTTATGTCCGGCGTACACACGCTCTACACACACCCCACAAAATGGCGATATTCGATTCGATTCAATGCAGAAGTTAATTTCATCTGTTTTTTTTCATTTTTCATTTTTTATTTTTTTATAACAATTGTCTGGACAAGTTAAAGCCAATCAAGTCAATAAACAATTACGGTACACACACGTATCTATATGGACATATGTACATATATGTATGTGCATAGTATATGTCTACGATCTAACATTCTGCGAGGGCTTGTTTAACCAGGGGCCGGAGCACCGTGGTACGAAAGTGCTGCAAACTGAAGTGAAACACTTTTATATTGAGTTGAAGGCAAAAGTTATTCAACACTGTCAAATGAATAGCTTAGGCGACGTTGTTCAACACTGTCAAAATATCATACATAAATAACTTAGGCGACGTTGTTCAACACTGTCCAACTATCATAAATGAATAGCTTAGGCGACGTTATTCGACACTGTCAAAATATCGTAAATTAAGAGCTTAGGCGACGTTATTCAACACTGTCAAAATATCATAAATTAATAGCTTAGGCGACGTTATTCAACACTGTCAAAATATCATAAATGAATAGCTTAGGCGACGTTATTCAACACTATCCAAATATCATAAATTAATAGATTAGGCGACGTTATACAACACTGTCCAAATATCATAAATTAATAGCTAAGGCAACGTTATTCAACACTGTCGAAATATCGTAAATGAATAGCTTAGGCGACGTTATTCAACACTGTGCAAATATCATAAATTAATAGCTAAGGCGACGTTAATCAACACTGTCCAAATATCATAAATTAATAGCTAAAATAGATTTCTCACTTTTAAAATAGTTGGTTAATTTATTTGGTTATTTTCCCACATTAAAAGAACAAAATGAACCAGCTCGGAACTAGAATTCAAATACATTTTTTCTCTTCTTTTCCAGATGTCAATATTGGGTAGAAATTAAATGTATTTCAGTTAGAAATCCAAGATTGTAATATTTCAAATTGTGAAACTATTATTATCTGAACCGGAACCATGTGGAAAACCAGCTGGTTAGGCTTTACGAACCGAACCTAACGGGACAGGGAGCTGGTTCGAGTTGTGAACGGAACCAGCGAATATTTGGCTAGTCATGGCAGCTGTTAATGGAACACATTTTCCATTAGCATACTGTGTACTAACTAACTAGTCGATGCAACAAATTAGCAAAGCTGTATTTGTTTGTGTTGTTCAGTTGTCATATTTAGTTTAATGCTCCTTTGATCTGTTTAAATTAAAAAAAAAAAGTTTTCGGCCCACAATGCAGGCACTGGAAACTTATAATATAAACAATTCAAATGCGTCATTTAATTAAGTAAACAGTTGTTGTTCTTTATATACCCTATACAAATTGCAAGTGGCTAACGACGAAAGGGTTTAATGATTTTGTGGAAGTTTATGTAACAGAAGGTTTCTTCAAAACTCACAAGGTTATTGATTAATTAATAAATAATGAAAAATAATTAAGTAGTTTTTCTAAAATATTTCATTACATTTACATAATACATTTTGCTGGATATCTCCCCATACAAATTTCATAAGGATCGGACTATAAATACCGAAGTTATTTAAGAATCAAGGAATCATAGTCTGTGCCCGTCTGTGTACTGCTTACAGGGTATTGCTAGTCGTGCACTCCCGACCAATGTACATAGGGCCGACAAAAGGTAGGCGTGTCCGCGGTTAGCATCTTTCGCGTATGGAAAGCGACAATCGGACGACAATCGGACGACGACGATTAAAGCGGGTTAATTACAAATGTGCATTGTCAGACGTTTAAAAAGGCGAAGACAAATGAAACGTGACAAATGACGCGACAAGCCAGATCTCAGACCGAAAACTCAGGTGATTTGCGGCATTGCACAATGAGAAATTGAAAGCGCAGTGCGAATGTTCTCCGGAATGTGTTTTTTGCCGTACGCCTTTAGCCCGACTAACTGTTGAATCATAGCCACATTAACCCGATTGCATTACAAACTAAGGTTTTGGGCTTAACTAACAAAAAGTTGAGGTATATCGCTTAATTGGCCCCATAAATCGTAACGTGTCACTTGATCTGATTTTTATTGTACGGTTCTTTTCATTAACAACACGGCATTACCAATATGGCCCACCATTAAAAATCAATTTGTAATCATTTTATTATATAGATTACATTTTTTGATTTACAATTTCATATACGAGTCCATTTTTGTGGTTCTAGTTCGCTCATACGACAAGTCTACATAAATAATATCTAGTTCGATTCCAATTAGAATTCCGATCAACTCCGTCTCGGAATAGTTCATTTGAACAGATTCATCACGCAATACATGTGAATCATTTCATCAAAGGGCAGGCAAAAAATAAATAAGTAAGAAAGAAAGAGAGAGCACGATAAACCTGCTCGACTGGCATCAGAAATATTTTTAGTCAAGTCGGCTGATCCGACCAGACATCTATAAATACATAACTTCGACAATTCAAATTCCGGTTTGCAACACCTGACTAGACGCCAATGAACCGGGCCTAATGCATTCAGACCCAGCGCCTAGGCGAGACATGCAAATGTGCCGTCTCTCTTGCCTGCTCCCCTCTCTGTCTGCGCCTTATGTAACTTCTGACTGACTGCGAAGTGTTAAGTTCAAGGTGAACGGGTGGACGGGTGTATACGGGAACTGCGGCCGGTTCGTGTGACAGTTGTGTGTCTAATATTAGCGCCATTCCTGCCCGTCAATTTCTGATATGCGGCGGGGTTGGGGGCGGTGTCTGACTTTATTGTTTCGATAACTGCGTCTTATCGGCTGAGTGAAGCAGCGATGGAATATCGGTCACATGCCATCATACTCTCTCTTTCTCGCTGATTGATCAATTGCGTTTATTCCCCAAACCAACTTGCACGATTCACCATGATGCGACCCCTGCCACTCCCCCCCCCCTTCGTTAAGTTTCCTTGACCACATTTCGCCCAGCAAACACAACTCGTTTTCGAGTCGATGTCGTCGTTGCTCCTCTTCTTATTCGCTTTGCTGTAACGGTCTCGTTTACGTGACGTCACGCACGGGGGCTTGTCTTGTGCGCCAAACAACAGCAGCCACAACAGCAACAATAGCAACAACAGCAGCAGCAATTACAACAACAACAACAGCAACGAAAAAACAAAACGAACGTGCCCCCAAAACCGGCTCCCTCTTGCTCTTACATTCGATTGCTGCTCTTACCTCCGCTCTTAAATGCATCGCTCAGCAGAGATTGTGATGGCCAAAGAGATGCAAACAAAGAGTAGAGTTTTACGGGCTAAGCTCAAGACGCTGAAGCAATGCGCTACAATGCGCAATGGAAATCTACACAGTGCTGTGGAAAGTTGTTGGAGTTTTTTTTTTGTTTTGGAATATATCGATTAACTAATGTGCGAATGTCTACGCCTACTTGTGGAAAATCACACATGTGACCAAATGGGAGGTGTAAATCTTATTAGCTTACTGTTAACTTAAGGGCGGACAGCAGTGATCACCAAACGACGCATTTACAAACTTTTCACGGACCCACGAAAGTTTTCCCTCATTTAGGAAGAATACTCAGGCAATTCAATTGTTTTATAAATTTAAGTGCACATAATTTCGAGAAATGATTACTTAATTTAAATCTACACAAGTTTTTGCAAAAAATATTTTGTTAAGCTAAGCTTTCGAGTTTCTTAAATTTATGTTATTAATAAATTCGAAATGGGATTTTTCAAAGGGGGAAGAACAGAAAATGTATACGCATAGCTGTTGACAACTTAATTTACATACATACATATGTATTGTATGTACATATATTATTCTTTTGCATTTTCAAATAGAAATGTTCGGCCTGTTTCAAAAAAAAAGTATCCTGTAAATAACATGATCAACCTGAAGCCAAATAGGAAATCAAGTCGATGGCATCTTTTGGCAATTTGCCTGTCTATCTCGAGGCATTTGTGAAAACGTGCAGATAAGTGCATAGACATGAGAGGGGCAGAGGCGGAACCAGGAGATTCTGGCATGTTCCACTTGTAGGTCGACATGCCCAAAGTCCAACGATCGCAGTCACATGCAGAGTGTGGTGACTAAAGACACAAAAGCCAAATGAGAAGAGCAACAGAAATAGCAACAACAAAAACAACAACAACAACAAGAGAGCTTTGCCAACTTGAAATCGATTTCGTTCAGCAAGTGAAACAGAATCAATGTACTCGGCTGAGTTATTGCGTTTGTGTCTGTATGTGTGTGCGGGCTGCGAGATCGAGAGAGAGCGCCAAAGTGCGCTGTCGCTCAAGGAGATCCGCAGGAGAGAGCGTGGGGGGAGGGGGGGTGAGTTACTCTTCATTGCATCCATCGTCTGACGCGTTCGACAAATGAATGGAAAATTTCGATTTTCGTTTCGCTTTTGCCTCTTACATTTGTATTCCTAAATGTTTGCACTTCTTCTGCATATGGCAACGAGTGTGTGTGCGTGTGTGTGTGTGTGTGTGCTTGTGTCTTTGCTGGTTATTTTCCATAAAAATTTCCACTCGTGTTAAATTTAGGACTTCACGCGACCTCAGGCACGCGAGACATGCACATTCATACATTTTTCTGAGTACATGTAAGATTGTTGCGTACGTGTGTTAATTCCCAAAAAATTCCATATGCAGCTGCCGCAATTTTACAACACTATTACAATTTATTTTAAAGAGAATGAATGAAGACATTTCCAGGGATTAAAACTTTCTTTAAAAATATTCCGATTAAACAATTTACATGCACAATTAAAGACTTAATTTTTTGAAAAATGTTAAGTACCACTAAATATAAAAACTACCTCTTGTAATGTAACAACATTATATTAAACAGTCTAGATCTATTTTCCCTACCATAACTTTTAAGCACTTGTTTACTAGGGCCACATGATAATCCTCCGCTTATCATAAGCACAATATCTCAATATCTGTTATCAGCTCATCCCGCTGACCTTGCGGTGTTCGCTTACTCAACACTCCGTTAGGGGGCGAGGGGCTGCGGGTGTCGGGTCTCTGGGCACACTTTACATAAGCA